CAAACTATTTCAAAAAAATTCAAGAAGAAGGAAGACTTCCAAACTTATTTTATGAAGCCAGCATAATTCTAATTCCAAATCAGAAAAAGATACAACAAAGAAAGAAAACTACAGGCCAATATCCCTGATGAACATAGATGCCAAAATCCTGAATAAAATACTAGCAAATCGGATCCAGCAATACACCAAAAAAAGTTATCCACCATGACCAAGTGGGATTCATCCCAGGGATGCAAGGCTGTTACAATATTCGCAAATCAATAAATGTGATACACCACATAAATAAAATGAAGAATAAAAATTACACAATCATATCCATAGATGCCGAAAAAGCCTTCGACAAAATCCAGCATCCATTTCTGATAAAAACACTCAGCAGTGTGGGAATAGAGGGATCATATCTAGACATAATAAAAGCCATATATGAAAGACCTACAGCCAACATCATACTCAATGGGCAAAAACTAAAAGCATTTCCCTTAAGAACAGGAACAAGGCAAGGATGCCCACTTTCGCCACTCTTCTTTAACATAGTACTAGAAGTCTTAGCAACAGCAATCAGACAGGAAGAAAAAATAAAAGGGATCCAAATTGGAAAGGAAAAAGTGAAATTGTCATTATTTGCAGATGACATGATACTATACATAGAAAACCCCAAAGACTCCATCAAAAGTTTACTAGACTTAATAAATGAATTTGGCAAAGTAGCAGGATACAAAATTAGCATCAAGGAATCGATGGCATTCTTATACACCAATGATGAACTCACAGAAAGAGAAACTAAGAAAACAATCCTATTTACCATTGCAGCAAAAAAATTAAGATATCTAGGAATAAACTTAACCAAAGAAATAAAGGACCTGTTTGCAGAAAACTACAGGTCATTGAAAAAAGAAATAGAGGAAGATATAAAAAAGTGGAAGCACATACCCTGTTCATGGATTGGGAGAATTAACATCATTAAAATGTCCATATTACCCAAAGCAATATATAGATTCAACGCAGTCCCCATCAAAATACCAACGGCATACTTCACAGAATTAGAACAATTATTTCAAAAGTTCATATGGAACCAAAAAAAGGCCTCGAATAGCCACTGCAATCTTGAAAAGGAAGAACAAAGTTAGAGGGATCACAATACCAGATTTCAGGTTATACTACAAAACCACTGTAATCAAAACAGCCTGGTACTGGCACAAGAACAGGCATATAGACCAGTGGAACAGACCAGAGAACCCAGAAATGGACCCAAGGCAATATGCTCAATTAATATTTGACAAAGGTGGCAAGAGCATACAGTGGAGTAAGGACAGCCTCTTTAATAAATGGTGCTGGGAAAATTGGACAGCTGCTTGCAGAAAAATGAATCTAGACCATCAACTTACACCCTACACGAGAATAAACTCAAAATGGATAGAAGACTTAAATGTGATTCATGAATCCATAAAAATCCTAGAAGAGACTGTAGGCAACAAAATTTCAGACATCATACGCAGCAGAATTTTTACTGACACATCACCTAAGGCAATAGAAACAAAGGAGAAAATGAACACATGAGACTACATCAAACTCAAAAGCTTCTGCACAGCGAAAGATACAATCATCAAAATGGAAAGGCTACCCACTGTATGGGAGAGCATAATTCCCAATGATATATCAGATAAGGGGTTAATTTCCAATACATATAGAGTGCTCATACAACTCCACAAAAGGAAGACAAAGAATTCAATTAAAAAATGGGCAGAGGAACTAAATAAGACACCTTTCCAAACAAGACATACAAATGGCTAAGAAACATATGAAGAAATGCTCATCATCACTAATCATCAGAAAGATGCAAATTAAAACAACAATGAGGTATCACCTCACACCTGTCAGAATGGCCGCCATCAACAAATCATCAAACAACAAGTGTTGGCGAGGGTGTGGAGAAAAGGGGATTCTAGTGCATTGCTGGTGGGAATGCAGACTGGTGCAGCCACTATGGAAAACAATATGGTGTTACCTCAAAAAATTAAAAATTGAACTTCCAGCCCTGGCCAGTTTGGCTCAGCGGTTAGAGCGTCGGCCTGCGGTCCGCAGAGACCCGGGTTCGGTTCCCGCTAAGGGCATGTACTTCGGTTGCAGTTTGTCCCCGGCCCTGGTTGGTCGTGCGGGTGGCAGCCACTCGATGTGTCCCTTCACATCGATGTTTCTCTCTCTCTCTCCCTTCCTCTCTCTCCCTCCCACTCTATCTGTACAAAAAATGGAAAAATGTTCTCGGGTGAGGATAAAAATAAAAAAAAATAAAAAATAAAAAAAATTGAACTTCCATTTGACCCAGTGATTTCACTTCTAGGAATATACCCTAAGAAGCCTGAAACACCAATCAGAAATAATATATGTACCCTCATGTTTGTAGCAGCACTATTTACAATAGCTAAGATCTGGAAACAGCCCAAGTTTCCATCAGTAGATGAATGGATAAAAAAGCAGTGGTACATATACACAATGGAGTACTATGCAGCTGTAAGAAAGAAAGATCTCTTATCCTTTGAGACTACATGGAGGGACCTGGAAAGTATCATCCTAAGTGAAATAAGCCAAACAGAGAAAGACAAGTTTCATATGATCTCACTTATTTGTGGAATATAATGAACATAACAGTCTGAGGAATGGAGTAGTCCCAGAGATGTGGAAGTGGGGTACAGACTGACAATCCCCAGAAGAGGGGGTGGTGGGGGAGAGATAAACCACAGAACTTATATGCATGTGTGCATGAACAGTGGACATGAACAATAAACTGGAGAAAGGGCAGGGAGGGGGGGGAGGGGGAATCAGTGGGGGGAAAAGGAGAACCATCTTTAACAAAAATTAATAAAATTTAAAAAAAAAAAAAAAAGAATCGATGACCATATAAAGAGTTTCCCAGACAAGAAAAAGTTAAAGGAGTTCATCACCACCAAGCCGTTATTATATGAAATGATGAAGGGTCTTTTTGAAGAAAATAATAAAATATATGAACAAAGAAAATGGCAATGAATACATATCTATCGACAATGGAATCTATAAACAAAATAAACAGGGAGAACAGAAACATTCTCATAGATACAGAGAACATTTTGTTGGTTGCCAGATGGGAGGGGGGGTTGGGGGAATGGGTGAAAAAGGTGAAGGTATGAAGAAGTACAAATTCATTGCTAGACTGACAAACCTCAGAGGGAAAGGGGTTGGAGGGTTGGAAGAAATAAACCAAAGAACTTATATGCATAACCAATGGACACAGACAATACTGTGGGAAAAGGCAGGAGGGTGGGGGGGGGGAGGGGGGAGTCAATGGGGGAAAAATGAGGAACATCTGTAATACATTCTACATTCAACAACAAAGATTTGAAAAAATGAAAAAAGATGCTGAGGAGGTGCTGAAGACGGGGTCTGCTGGCAATTGTATAAAGCGCCCGCACTGTACTTGATCCCTGTGTTCCTCGGTCTTGTGGGGATTTTTTCATTGAAATTGGTCCCTAGCGACTTGAAATATCAGAATTAGACTCTGCTAAAATGCTCTCTTTAAATATACTTTATGTTCTTGGCTTCCAGTTTTGTAAACAATATTTTGATGGCTTGGATAAATGGTATGAGTCCAATTTCATCTAAACTTAATGTGTGATGGCAGCAACTGAAGAATTCCCTTGACTCACGCAGGCTTGAATGATTGACCCGTTATGAAGAGAGAGAGAGATCTCATAACGCCCCAGTATCCTGTGTGATATTCCTCAGGCTCCAAAGACAACCGCTAAATGTAAAGACCAGATTCAACACCTTAACAAACATGGGAAGACCCAGAAAAAAAAAAACTTAAAAAATTAGTTTGTTCCTTCATAACTGAGAGAGAACCCTATGCTTATATAACACAACTTATGTTAAAATTTCAGTTCCATCATAATAATGTTCACTTCTGAAATATGAGAGTCGACAGTTCCAGAATTATACAGGAAACTAACCCTCATAAGGCCCCTGGCCCTGAAATACAGCTGCTGGATCTTAAGTTTCAAAACAGAATTCTCTTTGTTTACACTAATACTCCTAATGCATCTAGCCAACATATCTCGTCAACTTCATACAAATTAATCTCTTAGGTCATTTCCCCATTTATGCTCACATTTCTGCTTTAAAGAAATTACTCTTTGGTAATAAAGATGTACATCAGTAATTTTAGTACAGACAACAAGTCCCATTGTAGTAGCAATTAATAGGTAGTATTTGCAGTTCGTTTACTTATAGAAACTCACGTGGTGCTTTCTAAAGGCTACAGTAGTTGATCATTTCCACTATCATGTCAAGTAGTGCAAACAGTCTCGATTTTACAGGTAAGCCAGTTGAGGCACAGGAGTTTGAATCACTTAACAAAGGTTATTCAGAAAGCAAGTGGTGGGGCTGGGATTCTAACCCAGGCGGTATCTGATTCAATGGCCCAAGTTTTTAATTACTAAAATTAAGGTAGAATCCAATTCTAAGAGGACAAAGATAAGTAAGACTTAATTGAGCTTTTAGGTGAGATTAAAGTAGAGAGGTTTCAAGGAAAATGAGAAAAGATATGACATTTGACATGAGTGTTTAAGGATGCAGTTTTCCAAGCAGATAATCAAAGAAAGGATACTTCAGGCAGGAAGAAGAGTTGGAACAAAAGAGGAGAAAAGAGAGAATGGGGGTGGGAACTGGGTGGAGGGGGGCACTGAGGGAAAGTGTGGGGGGGACGTCTGTAATACTCTCAACAATACAGATAAATTTAAGAAAAGAGGAAATGATGCTAATTAGAAATGCTGAGACCATTGCTTTTCCTTCTGAATAATGTTTAAATTAATTGAACTAGCATATAAGGGCCAATATGATATGCCCTCACCCGAAATGTCTAGTCATCTTTACAATTGTCTTCTACTATCTGCTTTACATATTGCAGTACATGCCGATTCTTCTACCACCTACCTCCATGCTTAGCAAGTTAGCTAAAAAATCTAAAGTTCATCGCTTCTCGGCCTTTTGGCTAAGATCAAATATAGTATCTGTTCTTATCAGTTTAATATCTGATACGTCCTCTATCCAAGGACATTATATTAAATGCATCTTTGGAACAGGGAGATGGAAGAGGAGCTTGCTGAGTCCACTCCACGCATCAACCCGGTCTTGTAGTACCTCTGGGAATGGTGCAAAAAAAAATCTAAAGTTCAGTCATCTCATCCCAGATGTAAGCATAAGATATGTCCCTCAGAACTCTGTTGTGAAGTTTCAATCAAATAGTAAAAGTGCTTAGTTCAATGTGAGCACTGAAGAAATGACAGCTATCATTATTACTATTGTCGAGATAAGCAGCAAGTTCCCAGGAGCCGGATGTGAGGGTCACAGATGAAGGGTAGAGCAGCAGTTCTCGATTTTAGTATTTATCTTTATCATCTATAGTGATCACCCTAGGTGCTTGTAAAAAATGCAGATGCCGTGGCTTTATTCCAAGACGTTCTGATTTCCTAAGTCTTGGTTTAGGGCAAGAGTCTTCATTTGTAAGAAGCAATCCGAGTGACTCTATTGCAGATGGTCCGGGGACGTATTTCGAAAACTCTGAAGAAATGCCGAAGCAGAGACATGGCCAATGAAAATTCTTAGTTTGAAAATCAATATGCTTATTTAGCCAGATGTGCCAGCCTGGATGTAATCGATATCTTTATAAATCTATTTCCCATTCTCCTCTCTCTCATTTTAGAAGGTTGAAAAAAAGAGGGGTGGGGGGCTTTTTCTTCATGCATGATCTCAGATTATGTGTTATTCTCTGCAAGAACAGAAGCTTTGAGAATTACATGTGAGAATTCTTATATGTTTCTTTGATTTACAAGCAACAAAAGAAAGCTGTGATAAAGCAAAAAAGCAGAGGATGAAAATAAAGGAGAAAAAGAAGAGGAGGAGGAGGAGGAAGAATTTGTATAGTAGTAGTGATTTAAAGACAAAAGCTATCGCATATATATGATTCACTTTTGTTTGGTAAACAAAGATTGTCTATTGTTCCTGAAAAAGTTCCCCATTGTGATTTTAACTATGTCAGAAACAGAACATTTTTTTCTTTGCTGACTGGCCACCAGAATCTTTTATATCATATAATCACACCACCTATCAGTTAATCTCAAATCAAGATCTCACATGAAAATGAATTTGTTTTGATTTTTCTGCTTCTTTGGGGGTTTTTACAATTTGAATGTCTAGCTTTATTCCAGAGAGTCTGATTCAGAAAATCCTAAATCAGGCCTAGGAATATATCTTTTTAAAAATCTCCCAGATAAACCCGATCATCTAGGTTTGAGAACCCTTGACCTCCCAAAGTGTGGCTTCTAAGTTAAGTTCCACCCAAGGTCCTTGCTGAGAACATAGATATCTGATTCCTACCCTAGACCCATTCATCAGAGATCTCCAAGGGTGACTCCAGCATCTGCAATGTGAGCAAGATTTTCCGATGATTTATGTACATTGGACACCCAGACTTTACTGGGCCTAAGTCTGTTTGGCCTTCCCTGTGTTCCTTTTCTGTTCATCAGTAACTGGATTAATTAAAATGATATCAGTATGTTGCATATAGTTTTTAGATTTGTTTAGTTTTCTTTATTCTAGAATATTTTTCTGCACTTTTATGTATGGGCATATCTGTGTGTGTGTGTGTGTGTGTTTCATGACACAGACATGTTCTTTTATGATAGCATGTCATGTATATTGCAGAAAATTCCTCAAGTAGAATTTTTCCTATTGTTTCCTCTCAATTAGAAAAAGAGTTAAATATAAGTTTTAAATGTGTATATGTGAGGTGTTTTTATCAGGGCATTGTATTGGGAAGCATATGATGTCAATTGGTCTCACTTTGACAGTGTAAATTTTAATCACTCTGTGAAGGTGGTGTCCACATGATGTCTTCATTGTTAAAGTGCTTTCCCCCTATTGAGATTAAAAGGCCATGTGTGGAATGATTCATGGAGTTTTGGTGAACATTCTCTTTCACAATAATGTTTACCCAATAATTTAGCATCCTTGAGTGATTCTCGTCTGAATCAATTATTTCAACAATGGTTGCTTAATGACTCATTTAAAAATAAGTAATACTTTGTTGTCTTCACAAAACCCTATGTAAACAAACCCTGCAGGTGTACAGTGGTCCTGAAGGACTCTGGGTGAAGTGGGTCCTGTCCAGTTGTGCAGTTAACACAGGTACTGCGGTGGTAAAGCTAGGTAATCAGCTTCCATTACACAGTATTGTGAAGAGCTTCGCAAATGTTAAGTCAGGGGCAGTGTTTTATCTTTGCTTAAGTTACAGTTCTGATATAAAAGAAATACAGGAGTCAAAAGACAATAGAAAAATGGTGCACCCACAGAACAAAGAACAGCAATAAATAAAAACTTCACAACTTCACCAAGTCATTTCAACAGAATTGGTATCTGGGTAAACAATATCTGCATACATGATCTAGTTCACACTGCTAATTGATTGCACAAAGATATAACAGGGGGAAAAATCCCTTGAAAGAACGTCTTTGTCTTTTATTAGAATAAATACAATTTGGCACAGCTTTTAAACAGTTTCTCTATATTTCCCTTCATTCATGCAGGTAAACAAAAATCACAGGCAGTATCAGAGTCACATATCATAACCTCACTTAGGAAAGAAGGCTAACTTGAAACAGATCAGCTTGGAAGATGTGAATTTTAAATCCTTTCTCTTAAAAGTGATTAGAGTTCTCAATTAAATAAAACATCTGGATCTTCCAATAATACTCTCATCTCTTCAAAACAAATAGATAACAGACAGAGATGGTACAGCACTAATTGAATTGAGCTAAAACAAGAGTTTCTGCAAAAACCATTTCCTTCAATACCCAAAAGTTTGTCTGTTGGTTTCAATAACTAATAAAAACAAAAGTGCTTACAATTCTGATCATCACTGTAACTGGGGAAGTGTATTTTGCTTTTGGTACTGGCACATAGATACACAGCTCAGTGAATTAAAAGAGGCGACTTAGGAACAGAACCATGTTCATAGAGAAATTCAGTATGGGATAAAAGTAGCATTCAAGTCACTGGGGAAAGATGAAATATTAAAACACGTAAGTGGACATCCGGGTGCCTGTTTAAAAAAACAATAGCACTGTATCCATTATCTCACATTATATATAAAAATAAGCTTGAAGTGATTCAGAGACCTAAAAGTAAAAAATAATACAATACATACTATGAGAGAATATAACTGAATTTTACAACTCAGTGTGAGGAAAATTATTTTGAACTGAGTCCAAAATCCTGATACATTAGAAGAAATTATAAATTTTAATATTTAAGAAATTATATCATAAATAAATTATAAAGAAATTAAAAAACTGAAGATGGCGGCGAGCAGGACCCGAGGGAGGGTGAGTGCGTGAGAGAGTGAGCTGGTGTGTGAGAGAGTGTGAGTGGACGTGAAGGTGGACGACCAACCTCGAGCAGTGCAGAGCCATGGAGCAGAAGGTCCCTGTGCTGTGGACGGAGCAGCCGGCTACTTTGGTAAGTGGCCCTTCAGGGTGATTCTCCCTGTGCCATGGGGAGGTCCCACATTTTGGAAGATCCCTGGTCTTCCCTGGGAGGAGGCAGTGGGAGCGGCCAGGGCCCAGCAACCTGAGCCCACCAGCACACCTGGCACCATCGGACCAGTGGACACTCTGAGGACCAGTGCACAGTAGTGGAGCTGCCAAGGCGCTGGTCCCGGAAGCCACAGACACCCCGGAGTCCAGCACCATTCCCCAGAGTAGCAGCTCAATCAGAGTGGAGATGTACCCCCAGCAACAGAGGCTGGGGAGCAGACATCCATCCCCAGGCAACAGAAGCACAGCCCAGCAGCTGAGACCCATCCCCCAAAACTACAGCAAAAGCTGAGCAGGTGTTGAGCCCCTCGGGGCAGCAGCACTCCCGAGCCACCAGCAGCAGGACTTGGGGCTCCACAGAGGCCTGTGCCATCCAGCAGCTCACAAGAGCAGTGGGAGTCGGAGCCTGAGAGAGACTGGTGTCATCCAGCTGCCTGCCTGCCCACGGGACCTGCAGGGTGCGGGGGCACCAGAGAGCCCTGTGCCACCCAGCTGCGCACAGGATAGGCCTAGAGGATGTGAAAATGGAGGTGGAGTGAATAGAAGCTACACAGATGATCTTCCAGGATCAAACAGGAATTACAACTAAAATAAAGACGAATCCTCGGAAAAAAGCAACAGAAAAGCAGCAGGACAGGACCATATAACCAGGGACACTGGTAGGATCTGCAGAAGTGTGAGAGGGTGACGGGCTGGGAGCCCACGGACAGCAGCAGGCTTAGCTGTGAGCAGCGCCCTTGGGGAATAAAGACCAAGCCTGCTCCACAGTGTAGAGAGGCAGGACAGAGCCCTAAAATAGCCACAGCCACTCACCTGGGGGCTAGGGCAGAGGGAGGGCAGACTGGGCTGGAACTCTGTAGGGACCCCCAGGATTTGGAGGGCACTCAGAGTTTTTGCTGAGTTGTGGCCACAAAGGACAGTGGCCAGTGTGCTCCTTCCCAGAGCTGTGGGGAAAAGCTGCAGTGCTCCCCCCCCCCACCAGGAGATTCAACCTTTCCCAGGTGAGACAAAGAAATGCAAATTGAGGCTCATTAACAACCAGCATCTATCCCACCCTCTGGAAATCCTCTTATGCAGAACACCAGGGCTACATTCCAAGACACTAGGTAACTAAGACTACTAGACTCCAGGAAAAAGCTAGAGGATAACTGAACCTTTTCTGGGCTTGCAAATCTACCCAGGAAAGTAAGACTTGACAGTGGTGTTTAACGTGGGCCCACCCAGACTCATCCAAACCCAGTAGAGGGAGCCACAAACAGCAGAACACCAACACCCACAGGGAAAATTTGGCAGGCTCCAAAACCCACTGAGATAGGCGAAATGGTGAAACAAATCCCAAATGAAAGGACAAGAGAACGGGGAAGTGGGGTACAGACTGACAATCCCCAGAAGAGGGGGTGGTGGAGGAGAGATAAACCACAGAACTTATATGCATGTGTGCATGAACAATGGACATGGACAACAAAGCTGGGGACAGGGTGGGGAGGGTTGGGGTGAGGGGTATCAGTGTGGTTGAAAGGAGAAACATCTGTAACAAAAATAAATTAATTTTAAAAAAAAGAAGAAATAT